GGAATGAATTTTAGGTCTCTACGTCCATCCCATGGGGAATGGGAGCAGTAACAAAGGTGTTGCGTTTATATTTTTGTTGAGTGTATATATATATATGTATATATATATATATGTGTGTGTGTGTGTGTGTGTGTGTGTGTGTGTGTACACATATATATACACACATATATAACAGGCTGTAATTACTGTCATTGAACTTTATGAAAATCAAATAGATATAGCAATTGACTGAGATTTGGAAATAATAAAAAATAGTGAGGCACAAGAACAAAAGGATGACGCTCACCTTTAGAGGTAAGTATTTCTCAGGTGCATTGAATAGACAGAATAAACTGTAGAAAACTAAACAGCAGAAAGAAGAAGAGAAATAACAATTTTAACATAAACCAGTGGCACACTCAAGGGCCTGATCAACCCTGGCAGGGCCTCCTTGGATGAGCGTGTCTAGTGATAATGGCCGAAACTCCGATGAATCCAAGGTCCTCTACTGACGATGTGTCCCAAATTTTAATATGATAATTTAGATCAGATATTTAATCCCTAAACCTAACCAAGGAAAAATGGCAGATTAGACTGGGTAAAAAAACGAAAGTTATACATTTAGCCGACCTCAGACTTTCCAGTTTACAATGTGGACTTTGTAATGCAGCAAACAGAAGTTTCACACCGGAATCCTGAAGGTTGTTGTTACTCAGGTCAAGCTCTCTCAGCCTAGAGGACTGACACCTGAGAACTGAGGACAGAGCTTCATAACTTCTCTTTGAGAGGAAACAGCCATTAAGTCTGAAAAAAGAAAATCACCTACATTTATCACCATGTCCTAGACATTTGGGAGAATGGAATGGATTTTTATTAGATATTTCAATAGGGCCGCACAATCACAATAGATAGATTAGCAGCAGTTCAGTGTTACTGCTATGAAGCATTAAAAACATCTTGTATTTGACTGTAAATACTATCTAAAATACGTTAAAATTTCAAGGGATAGTGCTTTTAGTTTCTTCTGTTTTTTCCCTTTAAAATCCACAGGACAGTTTTTTTTAACTAGAATAGATATTAAAAATCTAAAAGTATAGTCACATGTTTACTTACAGAGCTTTTTTGGAGGCTTTGATCACTGGCAGCAGTCTCAGAAGAGCCTCCTCTGAAGCAGAGTATTTCTTCAGGTCAAATACATCCAGATCTTTTTCTGATGACAGTAAGATGAAGACCAGAGCTGACCACTGAGCAGGAGAAAGTTTATCTGTAGACAGACTTCTTGATCTCAGAGACTGTTGGATCTCCTCCACTAGAGAACAATCATTCAGTTCATTCAGACAGTGGAACAGATTGATGCTTCTCTCTGCAGACATATCCTCACTGAGCTTTTTTTTAATGTACTGGACTGTTTCCTGATTGGTCTGTGAGCTACTTCCTGTCTGTGTGAAGAAGCCTCGCAGGAGAATCTGACTGGCCTGCAGTGAAAGACCCAGAAGGAAGCGGAGGAACAAGTCCAGGTGTCCATTTGGACTCTGTAAGGCCTTGTTCACAGCACTCTGGTGGAGAGATTGAAGTTTTGGTTTGT